TAAAAAAAATAGTTTTATAAGCTACTACTTTTATTAAATATATAATAACTATATAATATTTTTTATATTATACTTTTAAAACCTTATTATAAAAACCTATTTTAAGTACCAAATATTAGCCCTATATTAATAAATAGTAAAAAGAAATACTTTATTAAAAATTTTTTTAATATTTATAAATTTAAGGGCAAGGTATAATACCTTATAAAATAATAGGGATAAAATAATATAAAAAATAATATATAAAAATTAAAAGCTTATATAGCTAAAATTATAATACTTAAAGATTTTAAGAAAACCTATAAAAATAAATTATGTAAAGTAAAAAAATGCTAAATATAAATATTTATGTTTATAACCTACGCGCACTTATAAAAAAAAAGAAAATATATTATTTTTACTAATTAACAGCGCCCGCAGGGCTTTTTAATAAAAAAATAAAATAAAATAAATATAAAATAAATAAAAAATAATAAAAAAACTTAAACAAGTAGTTAAGCCACGCGGCGCGCAGCACCTAATATATATAAAATAAAAACTAAGCTTATAAGGGCGCTAATATTAATACCTAGTATAAAAGTAACCTTAATAAAAATTTTTAAAAGTATTAAAGCGCAGCACACCCCGCACTAAAAATAATAAAAGTTTATAAAAAAATTAGTAATATAATATAATATAAACTAAAATATATAAATATATGCTTAGTAGCTAAAGCTATACTAATATAAAAAGAAATTATAGTTACTAAAGCAGTGCTAAATAAAGGTTTAAAAACTAAAAAAAAACTATTATAATAAATTAGTAAATTAAAATATAATAATATTATAAAAAGGGGACTAACTTACATGATAAATTATTATTTTTATTAAGGGGGGCACTAACCTATAAAATAAAGTTAAATATAAATAAATAATATTTATAGGGTTAGCCACTTATATATTATTAATTATAATAGTTTATTTAATAATTATTTTAAATACTTAATAAGCTACCTTTAAGGTAGTAAGGTTTTTGCAAGCTTATGGACTATTAGTTTTTATATATATAGTATTAATAGTATTAAAAATATTTTATAGCTAGTTACATACTAAGGTAATATTAATAACTATATATTTTAAAAACACCCTTTTTATATTATAATAAAACTAGCACTTTTTACCCCTTAAGTAGTTACATGTAAAAGCTTTTATTATAATATTTATAATAAATATATTTTTATTATAACACCCCGTGATAATAATATATATAATATATTATAAAATATAAAAATTAAGTAGTAAAGCTATAAAGCCCGGGGGTAATAAAAAAAATATTAATAAAAATCTTATTAGCAAGGGCAGCAGGGGTAGTAACAGGGGTAGTAATAATAATAATAATAATAAGGGCATGTAAATAATAAAATTAAGTTATTTTAATAACTAGTATATTAATAATTATTAATATATAAGTAAAGGGCAGGGAAATATAATCCTATATATTAAAAATAAAATAAAAAGTAAAAATTAAAATTAAGGCTTAACTACTATAATAAAAAAACATAAAATAAAATACTATAATAAAATAAATAATTACTAATAATAATATTTAAAGCGCGATATAAAACTATATTAAATACTAAAGTAAAAAAAATATAAAGTAAAGGGCAAGTATAAAAAACCTTAAAAAAAATAAGGTTAAAAACACGTGGTATAATAAAGGCTATAATAAAGGTAAACTATGTTTAATTTAACTACTAAAAATAATTTTAAAAATATAAAAATAACAAGAGCTAAATGCAAGAAGGTTATTAATTAAATTAAAAAGGTAAGTATATAGTAAAATATAAAAAAAAGGCGGATAAAAAGTTAATAAGGTAATATATTAATAATTAAAATAAAATAACTATATATTATAAATAGCTGTTAAAGGTATTAAAAAAAGTATAAAAATAAGGAGATTTAGCTATTTAAAGCTTAAAGCTTTATTATAAAAACTAAGTATAAAGTAAAATAAAATATATAAGCCTAATAATATTAATATAAAATTAATACTACTAAAATAAATAATATAATACTTAAAAAGTATAAAAAAATAAATATAGGGTATTTTAACCCTAGGAATATAATTAAATAATTAAAAAGTAATAAAAATATAATAAAAAGGTGTATACTTATAATAGGTATTTTTAATTAAGTTATAAAAAAAACTTAAAAAAAAAAGATTATAAAAATACTTTAGTATTAAAATTAAAATATTATGCCTAGCTATTACAGGTAGTAATACTATATTTAAATTTAAAAGTAAAGTAAGGTAATTAAATTATTTTTTATACTTAACTTTAAATATAAATTATATATAAACTATAATACTTTATAAACCTGGAAATAGCTTATTTTATAATACTTAATAAAATTTATAATTTAAATTATATTTTATAAAATATAAATATAAATTTATAAATCGCGAGGGCGCGATTACTTAAAAAAAAAGTATTATTATTATTATTATAGTATTATAACTATATAATATTATAATAATATAATTTAGTAGCCTAAGGCCGCTAGGCGGAGGAACTTTAGTATTAAACTAGCCGCGTGCTAAGGTAGTGGCTAGTTATATAATATATAAAATATTAAGTTTAACTTTAAACTTTAACTTAAAAAAATTAGTAATTAGTTCCTACTATAAATACACAACGCCTTTCCTATTACAGTAATTTATGTTCTCCTAAGCTTACCATAGTATACAAACACGACTCACATTAATATTAATAAAAAATTATTTAATATATTTTTAATTTAATACTATTTATTATAGTAGCCCTTATTTATACTTTATTTTAAAAACTTTATTAAGTATAACTTACCCTAGCTTGCTTGTTATTTTTGAAAAGTAAAATAAAGTAAAAAGTAAAAATTTTTTTTTAAAAAAAGTTAAAACTATAAGTTATTAACTTGTTTAAAAGGCTAGCCCTTTTACAAAACTAATAATAAAAGCTTATTATAAATTTTAATAAAAGTTTAACTTTAAAGTAAGGTTAACCTTGTGCTTATATAAGGTACCTTTTTTAATTTTTTTTAATTTTTTTTTTATTTTTTTTATAGCTTTTTTTTCTTATTTGATTTTTGACCTCATTATATTATATTATAACATGTAATAATATCTTATTCATAGCTATAGCTACTAAGTATATATTTATATATTTATATATTTTAATTTTTCTTATATTATATTATTAACCCCTTTATAAACATTTTCTATTTTTAATTTAGGGCTTGCTATGCCGCGGTACTATTAAAAGTTTTATTAAAATAATATTTATACTTAATATAGGGGTTAGTGCCCTGGTAGGCTTAATAATAATTCTGTATATTTTAGGTTTTGCGTGCCACATGGCTTAGCTATTTATTTAAATTTTATTTCTTTTTATTAAAAGGCCCTGCGGGCGCTATTAATTAGTAAAAATGAAATTTTTTTATAATTATATATAGGTTATAAGCATAAATATTTAACTTTAATATTTTTTATTTTATATAGTTTATTTTTATAAAACTTTTTAAAATTCTTAAGTCTTATGGTTTTAGCTATATAAGCCTTTAATTTTTATATATTATTTTTTATATTATCTTATTCTTACTATTTTATAAGGTATTATACCTTGCCCTTAAATTTATAAAAAAATTAAATTTTTTAAAAGTATTTTTTTATCATTTCTTAGTATAAGGCTAATATTTAGTGCTTAAAATAGGTTACTAGAATAAGGTTCCAAAATATAGTATAAAAAATATTATATAATTTATATATATTTAATAGGAGTAGTAGCTTATAAAACTACTTTTTTTGTTTTATAATTATTAAAAAAGGCTAATAGATATCTTACTTAAATTTATAATTTAGCCTTATAAACTTAATATATTTTATATAAGATTTAATATAATTATTAACTTTGAAGTTTATTTTTTTATACTTTTTATTATATTAAATAACTATTCATTTTTTTAACCTTTATAACTACTTTTTCTAGCTTTATATAAATTTTTTAGACTTTACAGCCCTTTAAAGTCTAATTTTTAATATATAATTAGGTTTTTAATATTAATATATATAGTAACTTTTAAGTTTATAAGGGCTTTAGTAAGTATATAACCTATAAATTATTTATATGCTTTAGCCCTTGCTAATAATGCCATCTTTGGGCATTCTTCCGCAGACAAGATCTAGTAGTAAAGCATTCCCCTAGGTGAAAACAAGCTTTGCCTTTAATAAAACAAAGAGGCAAAGAATTGGTGTATTATCAGGGGTATTCTAGCTACTAAGAATAGTAAAGCCGTAATAACAAAGGCTTAATTTTACAATAATTTTCGCTGGGTTATAAATAATGCGGATTACTTTAAGACCGTAATAATCCATGCTGTACGTCGGGCTCTGGGAGCGGTTGTAAATGGTAAGACTTATTTAACAAATAAATATATGCCAGGCTAATCTTTTGAGCAGAAAATGTCTCAGTTGGATCTCGCCCAGGTGCATATAAATAATGCATGGATTGATCCTCCGCGTTCCCCCCAGATAGTACACTCATTTGATTTCAGGCCACCCCTTGTCCATTGTGCTTAAAGCCGCTCGGCATGTTATAACTAATGACTTAGAGTTGGTATTTTGCTCAAACCCCAATGGCGGTGTTTCTTGATAGGCTTCGTTTCTACGAAGAGGGACTCTACATTAGAGGAGTATCAAGGTTAGAATAGAAAGTTAGGTGACAAGATCCCCTGGAAAACTAAGAAAAAACTTGGTATGTAATAGATCATCGGAAATAAATAATATTGAAACAAGTAAACAATCATGTCTAATAGATCTAAATCAAAATTTTATACCACATTAGGTATAAGGAGCAGTAGGTAGATAACGAGAAAGTAAAGTGACCGAAAAGGGTTTTGGTGAGGTCGGACGACTTCTTTTTTGCAGTTGGCTGTGTCGAAAATAAACCCGTTTTCGATTGCTATACATGATGCTTCGCCGCGGATCTATTTCTTCAGATATTTGGGAACCTCTCGTCCAGTGGGAGGATTCTTGATAAATTCACTCAGCTCAATCATGAATGTGCCCTCCCACTCCTCGGCATGGGAAGGAACCCAACCCAGGTTGCGAGCTAGGACAGCCTTCGTACGCGAGCTGGTTATAGTGGAGAAGTCAAGTGTCAGCCAGTAATTATTGAATTGAGAGTGAGCGTGTAGGAAGGAAAGGAAGATGAAAGACAAGACAAAGACACATACTTTGACGCAAAGCCAAGTTCTGCACTAGAAGTGTTACCAAAAACCCATTTCTCGCCGGCTTCCTGGATAGTGATCTTTGCCACCTCACTCGAGGGGAAAACGCCCAACTCATGACCAGCCTTGGCCAGGCCTTCTGAGAATTCCCGGTGCGAGTGCTCCCCAGTCTCACAGAAATAGATCCCCTTTCGACCGGAAGGGATTTTGATGCCCTGCTGAATATGCTGGAGCAAGACCAGGTGCAGGGCTGCCAGATCTTCGATGTGCACGTGGTTCCAGATGGTGTCGCCTTCAGAAACGACACTGCAGCTGCCTGTTTGAAGTGCGTCCGCGATCATTGTTGGAAGCTGCATGGAAAAGCAATTGAATGGCCCACCCCCAAGACCAAATATTGTTGGCGCCATTATAATGTAAGTCATCACGCCAGTGGCCTCCCCGCCCTCAATAACGGCAATATTAGTAGTCCGCTGAAAGTATGTTTCACGGGATTCGCGATACTTCTCATATGAGTAAATGTCCTCTTCATCAGAAAAGACATGAGTATCAATGTACCCTTCCGTATACGGGCGATCGCTCAAATTCGATGTCCCCGAAATCTGGATATAGTGAACATCGGTGTTTGTATTCTGGCGCCGCACACCTTGCCCCCTAATCAGTGCTTGTGCAGAGGGGGTATGCCAGCCCGCACCAGCATGAATAATAACTTAGACCCAGGTTAGCAAAAAAAAAAAGCACGAGAAAAGGGGGATTCTCATTCACATACTGTCGAAGCCTTTACCAATCTCTTCCAGTCTATCCAGCTCGTCGAAGCTTGAGAATAATTCAGGAGAGACACCCAGCTCCCTGACTTTTGTAGCCTGGGATTCGGATCGAACCAGGGCTGATACTTTCAGATTCTTGGCCCACGCATCTTTGGTCCTAAGGATGGCAGACAAAACTGAGCCTCCGCTGCGGCAAGGGATTTCAATTAGCAGTCTTCTTTTTGTTTTGGTCCGGCGATATTTTGGAACAGAATTCGAGATCCTTACATGTAGCCCGAAACCCCAGTTATGAGAAGGGTCTGCAATTCCATAGTTTAGGAACAACAAAGAGAGGTATTAAAATCAAGAGGGCTTTGGTGAGATGACCAAGTTGAAGATCAAAACCTGACCCAAACCGCAGTGTTCTTAAATAGATGAATATTCCGATTATTGTATTGCTAATAATTGATAATTCATGACAATTATTCGAGTTAAGTGATGCCCATGACGTGTTCACAACGTTGCCACTCTTCCTCCAAACATACTTGGTAGTGTCCATTCAATACTTTCGGATTCGGGTGAAGAACTTCCGCCTTCCCAAGAGACCCAGACCCACAGAAGTTGTTCGGATTGCGACGTCGAAACTGAGACTCGCAAGTGGGGAAGTAGGGCACCGCCGGCCACCCGAACCCTCCAAAGTGCTTTTCATCCGTATACGGGCCCTAGAACAAGCCGTGAACAATCAGTCTGAAGAATCTTCCTTTGGAACGTGACGTATAATACGTGCTATTGTTTCGGATGCCCGGATCGTCATACACCGAGTAGAGCAGAGACCTGGTTCTTTATGGCTTTGCTTATGCCAGAGTACACATGCATTGTAGATCAGTCAACAAATTCTACACTATCCAGAACCAAGTTAGTAGTTTATGCCTACTGTCGTGCAGATCGCCATAGGCATAATTATGCCTCTAAATTCCAAAGTCTGGAACTCCATTGCTTAAGATAAATAGCCATATGAGCCTTCACCTACCGGATCTTTTGTCTGTAACCAAGAATCTCAAACATCTTAGCAAGTCTTAAAAATGTTTTCACCTTCTATCTATCTACTCTCTCTCCCGTCCGTCCTCGGACTAGCGCTCGCTGATCAGGCATGCCCGCGCATCCCAGGCATCCAAGTCTACGCGACCACGCCAAACGAAGGCCCATCGGAAGGAAGATTTACCTCCTGCGAAAACGGCTTCGACAGCCCCAAGGTGCTCGCCGGCAATGCCTCCTCGTACGACTGGTGGTACTTCGACGCGATTGGGACCGACGGCGTGTCATCCCTAGCCGTTGCGTACTTCGTCGAAGCAAATAAGTCCGGCTTCACCGTGACGGAGAACTTCACCAACCGGGATTTCGTGCAGATCTCCGGCACCTTCCCGAACGGGACCAGCTTCAGTGACTTCCTATTCGCGGACAATAATGCGATTGTGTCTGCCATGGGCGACGGGTCCAGCGGGCTGTGGAATGGAACCGGGGCCTCATGGGCTGGGAGCCCAGATCTGTCAGAATATCTCATCACGCTCGACGCGGGACACCTGGGCTATAAGGGGACTTTCTCGATGCACTCTGTTAGTAGTTGCCTGTGGTTTCCACCACTATTCAGTTCGAGAAATAGAACACTAATAGCATGTCCGATGGATGCAGGTCGCCCCGCCGCACTATCCATGCAGCCCGAAACGCGCAAATGAAACCATGGAGGTTCTTCTCGGCGTGGGCTGGGCCAATTCCATTCCCGACGCCGACGTGACCGTCCAGATGACCATCCACGGCTCGACGTTGAGTTTCATCGGAACCGGATATCATGACAAGGTGCGAGCAAAAACACCCCCCTGCCCTGCCCTGCTATCCTAAGTGCAATCAATCAATGGATGATTTCACTTTTCCACTGATGATCAGGGTTTTGCTAATACCAATACCTCACTCATAGAACTGGGGCGTCATCCCCTTCACCGACGCCGTCGGCGCCTGGTACTGGGGACACGCACGCATGGGCCCCTACTCCCTCGTCTGGCTCGACTCGCTCACCCCCAGCGCGGACGAGCATGCCAGCGGCTACGTCGCCTACCAAGGCCAGATCCTGCACGCCGAATGCAACAAGATGAAGGTGCGTCCCACGGGGTCCAACGTGCATTTCCCGCCCCAGGGGAATGATTCGCTCCCCGAAGGATTCACTATCGAGGTCGATCTGGGTGGAGAGCTGGGTCTTTTGAAGGCGGAGCTTGCTTCGAACTTGGCTACGCTTGCGAAGCCGGGATATGGGCGCTGGATTGGAACGGTTAATGGGACTGTTGGTGGGCTTGACTACGAGGGTGTCGCGGGGTATGAGATGTTCAACTTCTTCTGAATGTGAAAGCAATTTTGAGTGAGGCGAGCCTAGCCGATGTGGCGTGGTGTATGTATTGAGGGGAGGGGGAGTCATGCGGTAGCAGAGTTGTCGCAGCTGTAAAGCTACCGCCGAATAGAAATAGAGTGTTACAGTCTGACACAGCCATCCATGGATAAGGCAAGTCGCCCGCGTCTACTACGCGTCTATTAACGCATTTCGCTTATTTTCCCTGTCAACTTGTACGTTTAGATATTTTGACCCTAGCGACCGGACACATATCTCAACCTGTACGTTCAATAAACTGTGACAGGCCCACATCCAACAGCACGCGAATATTTATTCAGGCAAGTCATGGGCCCTGTTCTCATTTCACATTTTGCCAATTGTGTTTCTTAAGCCACGAATCAATTCTTGAGAACGCCTACTAAATAGTTCTGTTTCTTGCCTGATGAAGCAGCTTGACAACCTTCTTGTGTCCATTTTCTGCAGCCCATGATAGAGGAATTCAACCATACTCAGAGTCCTTAGAATCCATATTCACACCTTGTTTAAGAAGTACCTTGGTGATTACATAATACCCGCAGTACCGTGCTTACTCATCTACCGCCTAAACCCACTTAGCGCCTAAACTATATTTATATTAATGTTTACTTGTAAAATTTAAACAGCTATAACTTCCTTATTTTTATTTTAATAAATAAGGTAATAAAATATCTTAAGATTTTAAAGCCAGGAGAATATTTTTTATATATAAATATTATTAAAAACTTTAATATAAATTATATAACTTTATTTAAATATTTAAAGGTATTTAAGGCATAAAAAAGTAATATAAAAACTAGTTATTATTTAATATTTAATAATTAAAGATTTTTATGAAGTATATTAATTAACAGGCGAGTAAAGGCTTATTTTACTTTTATAATATAATTAAAATTTTTATAAAAAAATACTTAAAAAAAACTAGAAAATAATTAGCTTTTACGCTAGCTTATTAGTTATTAAAAGAAATTTATAAGTACTTATATAACTAGGATTAATATTTTAAAAAAGGCTAATTTAGTATATAAATGTCAGGGCCAACATTGATCCGGGTCACGCCATTAAGTAATGCCTAAGGCACCCAGGTCACGCCACCGCAAAGTATTAATATTACCCGTGCAGGATGTTTTAGGCACTTATTTAGCTTAATAAACCTTATTATTATAAATTATTATATAAAACTTAATATAATATTAACTTTAATAAAGGACCTTAACTTAAGGACCTTAAGTTTTAAGTATTATTTAAATAGTAAATTAAAGGCGTGCCTTATATTAAATTACCTTAATAATTAAAAAGTAATTATAAGGGGTGTAAATAAAAAATATTTAAATATTACTTATTTTTTAAATAAAAATAATTTAAAAAATTACTTAAAAACCTTAGGTTTCCAGGCAAGGCTTATATAAAAAAACTAAAAATTATAATATATTTAGTTTTTTAAATAATTTTTTTAATTAAATTTATTAAGGTTTTAAAGACTTTATTTTTATTAATTAAAAATACTTTATTAAATTTTATTATTATTAATAAAAAATATTTAGGTGCTAGGGCGCCCTTATAATTTAAATTTTTTTTTTATTAATTTTTAAATATTATTAATATAATATTTTAAATTAAATTTTTAAATAAATAAAGGCGGACTGGAGCTATTTTAGTTAAGGTTTTTAAAATATAAACTTAAATATAAAAAAGTTTAAAATTATTATTTTTACCTAAACTTATATTATTAATATTTAATAATACTTTTATTATTAAGGTTGCTAACTTAGATATTAAACTAAATAACTTATTTTTTTTAATAAGTAAGGCTTAAAAATTTTTTTTGCCACCTTACCTTTTTAAAAATCTTATATAATATATTAACCTTAAATATATTATAATAAGTATTATTTTAATTAAAAATATTATTTTAGGAACACCTATGGCTAGGCTATTTATTATAATATTATAATAAAACATGCTATTAAAACTAAAGCTTAATAAGAATAAGTAAATAGCTTAGTAAACTAAAGGGTATTAATAATTAAATAAGCTATTTTTACTTACTAAAAATCTTAAAAAGCTATTTAACTTATTAAGCTTAAATAATAATAATAATATTATAAATAGAATATTACCTAATTAAAACTAAGCGCATAAATAACCCTAAATATTTATTAAAAATAAGGTTATTAAAGTATTAGCATAATAATTATTATAAAATAAATTTAAGCTAAAAAAAACTAAAGCCTTTAAATATTAAGATTTTTAATAGCAAGAACTTAACAAAACTAAAAATATTTTTTAATAATTTTAAAAATATATTTAATAAAGCCCTTATATAGTTTAGCACTAAAATAAGTAAAATTATTTATTTAATAAGTAAAGTTAAAAAAATATATAATATAAGTAGTATATAAAATAAAAAGGCTTATTAAGCTACCTATATAGGTAATATTTAAAAAGTTTATATATTAATAAGTTAACCTAAAAAAATTAAGCTAGTTAAAAAATAAAGTATTTTATAAATAAATAATAAAATAATTAATTACTAAAAATATAGTTAGTAAAGTTCCAGGAAATAGTTTTTAACCCTTTTTAAGGTATTTATAAAAAGGTTATTATTTATATTTACATGCTAAATAAACTATATTAATAATATATAACATGCTTATAGAATTCTTTAACTACCTTTAAAAATATTAATATAAAAATAATTTAATATAAGTTAATTTTAGCACGCGAAAAGTAAAAAGCGCCTAAAAATAATAATTAAAAAAAATAATAAGAACCCTCCTGCTATAAAAAATAAGAATTTAATAAAAAGTATTAATTAAAGGTAGAATAAAGGTATTTTAATAAATAAAAAAAACTAAAATTTATTAAAATAGCCCTTAAAAAAGCAAGGTTAAAAAAATTATTATAACTTTAAAAATAAAATTAGTAGGTAAAAGCTAGCGCAAGCCAAGTATTAGCTCTTACTTAAAAAAAAATAAATAAAAAAAAAATTATTACTATACATGCGGCGCGAAAGGGTATTTTATAAAAAATTACTTAATTAAAATAAAAGTAAATAAAAAACTAAAAATTAAATAATAAACCCAGGCCCTAAGCTATTAACTTTAACTAATATAAATAAACTTACTATATTTTTTATTTTAGCAGATTTACAAGTTTAAAAAAATAATTTAAATAAATAATTTAAAGCTTTACTAAATACTAGGGCTAGTATAAATTTTTTTTTAATTTAATTTTTTAAAAAAAGTAAAAAATTAAAATAGCTATAAACTAGATGCTGTAACTAGTTTAATATATTAATAAAAAAATTATCTTATATTATAGCTAATTTAAGGCTAAAATATAAATTTATAATTTTATTAATAAAATAAAAATATTTAATATGATATTTTATATTATTAATCTTATTTATAATAAGTACCAAGCCATGCTTAAATAACCTTAAATAATTAAAGTAAAATTAAATATTTTTTAATTATTAATTAATAATATTAGCGGTATTATACCCCATGCTTTTAAATTAAACTAGTAAAAAAATTTATTAAAATAATAAAAAAGGGTTTTATACTTTTAGTTTTATATAAATTAAAAAAAATTAAAGGTATACTATTTATAGTCCTGCCTTTTTAATATATTAAATAAAATTAGGTTTTTTTTAAAAAGAAAGTGTCTTAACTTTTAAGTAAAAAAGTATATTATAAATTTTTTTTTTAAAAAAAGGTAAAATGCCTTTTTAAGGGCTTATTTATAGCCTTTTTTATTATAAATTATTAATTTTAAAAAAGTATTTTAATAAAATATTAATAAAAAAATAAATATAGCTATTTTAAAGTTTAGCAGGAGTACTTATTTTTTTTACTTAAAAAGTAAATAAATTTTTATATTTATATATTAATTATTAAGGTTTTAATATAATAACCTAAAAAATTATTATTTATTACCTTATATTAATAAACTTATAAATTAGTTAATAAATATATAATACTTTATTAAACTTAACCTTTATAACACGTATTACTATATTTATATAAAGTAAAAAAATAAGTAAAAAATAATATTTTAAACCTAGTATAGTTATTATAAATATATAGTTATATTATTTAATTTTATTAATATACCCGCAATGTTTTAGTTTTATATTAATATAATAATAAGCAGGGTTTTTAATAATTTTTATATAATTTACTTAAATAATATTTTAATTTTTTTAAAAATTAAAAAAAAGTATATTTAGCATGTTTAAAAAGTCCTAGAACGCCTGTAAAAGTATAATTTATATATAAAGTTATTAAAATATAATTTTTACTAAAAAAAATAAAGTTTTTTAGCTTTATTATTAGCTAGAGTGAAATATTTATTAACCTAGTATAAAATTAAATAGTTATTAATTAGCTAGTGCTAATATTATATTATAAGTTATAAATTTTTTTAAAGTTTATAAACTACTTTAAATAATTTATTAAAAAATATATTAAAGTAACTTACCTTATAATATAGCTTTTAAAAAATATAATTAAAAGATATAAAAATAGCCCCTTTTTATAGCTGGATAATATATAAAAAGCTTTTAAAAGGGTTAAATCTACTTTTACCTAGCCTTTAGTATCATAGTATTTTAATTTTAAAAAAAAATTATTATTATAAATATATTAAATTTTATTATAGCTAGCATTATGACATAATTAAATTAAAAAAAATACCTAGTAAAAAAAAGTAAAACTAGTAATAATTTATTATTTTTTACTTTTAATAACTTTATAAACTAGAGCTAAAATATAAGGTTTATAATTAAAAATTACTTATAATTATTAAATTTTTTAAAAAGTAGTAATATTATTTAAAGGGCTTTATATATTTTATATATATTTAATATAATTATAATAACTTATAATACTTTTTTAAAATAAAGGTCTTAAATTAAAGGTAGGCTTATTAAGTAAAATTATTAATAGCCTATAACTTTAAGATTAAGTATA